TAGTTTTGGGGGAAGCCAAGATCAAGAATTTATTTCAGCAAGCACAGGTAATGTCTGCTGAGAAATTCAAAGTTCAAGGTGAAGCTATGTCTCAAACATGCAAGAAAACACAGAGACTCCAACTGTACCAGAGGAGAGTGAAGAGGAAGAAGTTGATGGAACAGATGTGGGAGTTGAAGACATAGAATAAGTCATGTTACAAGCAAATGTGTGGAGAGCAAGGGCAGTCTGCTCCCTGAAGAACAACAGTAGTAATATTGTAAATGCTATTATGAAATTAACAACATAACCATCTAAAAGATGAGATTTATTTATTTATTTATTTGGTGTTTGAAAAGAGTAAGTGCAGCTTGGTTTGAATTTGTTCTGTTTCTATCATTAATAAAGTTATGGCTCCTTGTGAGATTTTTTTTAAGAGCATTTAAGGAAACGGTGATGCTTTGCACTGAGAAGCGGAGACCATAGAAGAGATGGAGATGGGGTGGGTGCAAGAGGTAGTGAGTGAAAAGTGGAAATCACAGTGAGACAGTCTGGGGCTCAGGTAAGGAAGATTTTTCTGAGAGTCAAAGCTGCAGAAGGAGATAATATGTTTCTGGTCAGTGGAGATGTTCAAGTAAAGACTGAAAAACCCTTGATGGCAGTGTTTAACTGGGATTCAAGGCCCTTTGAATTCATCTTCTGCCCTCAAGCTGATGTTGCAGATCGTCAAGGTCTCTCCTATTTCGTGACACTGAGAATATCACGGCTGTGAGTCTGTGTGGCCAAAACAGCAGCAAGTTTTCAGCCCCTGTCATGAGATCATCATGTGTCTTTCACTGCTAAAGCAGTCCCTAACAGCCTTATCCGGAAGTGTTTTTGGAGGATACAGAGGCATTTGAATGAATAGTAGTCCTTTCATCTACAACCTGTATAAAAATAAAATCTGGAGATTTTCTGTCTTTTTTGTTTTGTGAATCTTCACCTGAGGATATTTTTCCCATGGATTCTTAGAGAGAGTGTAAAGGAGGGGGGAAGAGAGAAAAACATCAATGTGAGAGAGACCCATCGATTGATTGCCTCCCGCAAAACACCGAACAGGGCTGAGGATTGAATCTGAAACCCAGGTACATGCCCTTGACCAGGAATCAAACCTGAAATCCTTCTGTCTGCGGGCTGATGTTCTAACCGTTGAGCCATACACACCAGAGTAGATTTTCTGTCTTAAACCTCTCCATCATAGGCCAAACATATCATGGCTAAGTACACAAATACCTACATTTACACTGACAGAGACTCACTTAAAGATACACATGAAAGAGACTGAAAGAACCACACAGAGGCACAAACAGAATTGTAGATGGAAAGACATTTTTTGTCCATATACCTAGAAGACACAAATAGGTTTAAACTCACGTTAGAAAGCTTTGTGAACTGTCAGTTGTATTGAAAGACTGAAGGCAAGAGCTCACAAGGGCACCAGAATGGGCCTCTGGCAGGCACTAAACAAGAGAGGAGGCACACTTTATGTTTCTGAATGAGAGCTCCTAGAGGTCAGAGCCTCTGGGGTCCTGTTTTGCCTGAGTGATGGAAAACCAAGGGGAATTAGATCTCACCTTGGAAAGCAAAATAAAAGAAAAAGCATGTCCCCTGGAGATACTGTCCTCTCTGCACAGAGAAAATAAATTTTCAACTCCTTCCTTGTGATGAAGAGGAAGATGAAGACAAATTTTTCCAAGCACCATAGCAACATCCTTACCAAACTCCAGTTATCCAGTTTCAAAATTGGAACCCTTACCACAAAACCCAGACTTTATTTTTCTGAATTCTGAGCTTAAAAGCCATATTCTAAGAAGAATCTAAAGCTTAGAGCCTAATGGGCAACTCCAAGACTCCGAGCCCAGGGAACAGAGCTTCAGGCCAAAGCCAGACCCAGAATTTAACCAGGGGAGGATATAATCATGGCTGCCTTTACTCAGTATCACTACTGTTCTCTACTCAGTTCACACTCAACCCTTAACCAAATTTCACAAGACTGAAGTGTCCTCCAGGAGAGATATCCCAGGGTACCAAAAGACCATGGAATTCAGTCACATTGATGTAAATTTGAGTTCTAGCTTTGCCATCTACCAGCTTGTTGAGTCCAGGAGATTAGCATTTCTTCAACTTGGAACCTGATTTGTAAAGAGGATTGTACTTATCTACAGAGGGCAGAGATTCAAGTAATAAATAAAAAAAAACTGATATTTTAATGTGATTGTACCATACGTAAGTTCTCCTGAAGGTCTCAATTTCAGATCCCCCAAATAACTACTTTCTCAAGTACCTAGTCTTTCCATTAACTATTTAATTTTACCTCTTCCTTATTTCAGTTTCAAATATAGTAAGAGTGTATTGAGGGAAGGGATGGCAGGAGAGAGAGCTCTTTTATTTTTGTATCAGGTGGTGGGTTGTATCCAGGGAAGCAAACAGAAGATGGGCATGGAGAATATTTTTCCTTCCTTTTATGAAACTTTGAAGTATCCCAAAGAGACACTTTGAGAACTCTGCCTACTTTGCATTATTGTAGAGTGACTATCGAGTGGCTAGAAACTTCATTGAATCTTCTTTGTTGCTATTTCTGTGCTATATCTGCACCACCTCATAGAGATAATAGGCCATGAGTCTGCATTTTCCTTTACCTCCAACACCACATTCCTAGTTTCAGTTTCCCTCAGCTTTATAAACCACTCACAATCTGACTTAGGCAACCTCTCAAGATCTTATTTCCCAAGCTTTCCCATGTGAAATCTCTGCCTGAAAAAAGCTACTTGCAATTGTCCTAAATATGCTGGACCAGTGTTACAGGCAGCCTAGAGACCCCAGAAAAGATGTTATTGGACAGTTCCCTAAGTCAGAAAGAGAGGGTCATCCCTATCCCAGTTCTTGTCTTCTCATATAAATGAATTTAAATGAAAGACCCTGATTGTGTTGTATTAAAGCAAACAAATTTATGAAAGAAACAAGGCAAGCAAATCTATACGTCTGGCTTATGAAGCACAGACAGGCTCTCAGCTAGTCTGAAGCGTGAGTTGGATGGGGTTTTGAGGCTTTATACACCTTTCTGTCTATGTGTTTCAAAATTTATGTTGAATATTTGGTAGAGATTAATTCTCAAGGTCTCTTTTTACTTTGTTGTGGCCTTCCCAGAATTCATGAGAAGCACCTGGCAATCTTATCTTGCTAAGCCTTGAGACTGCTGACTTCTCTGTTAGGGAGTCAAAAAATAACCCCCCCTTTTTTGTTTATTGGTTTAGAAACACTCCCCCCCCTTCTCTTCCCCTTCTCCCCTATGTTCCTGCATTATCTCATTAGGGAGGCTTAATTAATTAATTAACTAATTAATTAATTGTTTTATTTATCTTTATTGTTGAAAGTATTACAGATATCCTCTTATTCTTCCCCTCATTGACTCTCTCCACCCAGCTCCTGTCCCCCCAAGACCTTCACCAAACTATTGTCTGTGTCCCTGGATTATGAATATATGCATATAAGTTCTTTGGTTAATCTCTTTAATCTCTTCGCTTCCCACTTCCCTCTGAGATCTGTCAGTCTGTTCCACATTTCCATGTTTCTGGATCTATTTTGTTCGTCAGTTTGTTTTATTCATTTGTTTCCACATACAAGTGAGATCATGTGATACTTGTCTTTCTCTGACTGGCTTATTTTGTTTAGCATAATATTTTCCAGGTCATTTCATGCTGTCTCAGAAGGTTAGAGATCCTTACCCTGCATAGTATTCCATTGTGTTAAATGTACCACAGTTTTTCTTTTCATCCTCTCATCTACTAATGGTCACTTTGGCTGTCCATTTGCTCTCAAGTGTCCTTGATTTGGGGAAGATAATGGCTCACTATTTACAAGCCAGCTTCAAATTCTCCACACTGTTTGGCTTTGTTTTAACTTTCTTGTCTCCGTTTCCCCATTCCTCTTTCCCTGGAATTTTCCTAAATTTCACTGTACTATAACACCATTCTTGTAAGTTAAATGTTCTCAAACTTGAACATATATCAAAGTTACTTGGAGAACTTATTAAAAGAGATTACCTGATTTCACTCCTTAGACTGCTAGTTCAGGATATCTGATCAAGGACCTGAGAATTTGCATGTATAACAATTTCCCAAGTGATGCTGATGTTGCTACTCTGAGAATCTCACTTCGAGAACCACTTTTCCTGACTCCTGTTACTAATGAGCCTTTTTACTATTGTTACACATCAGATCGGCATTACCTGAGCAGTGTTAGAAAACAGAAGCACTGTGCTTCTCAAGTTTTAATCACCCAAGGGTCTTAATCAATGCAATTTGAATTCAGTAGGTCTTCTGTGGGGTCTAAGATTCTGTTTCTCTAGCAGGCTGTCAGATATGTGAATGCTATTGGTTATTGAATTGTACTTGGAATAACAAGGCTCTAAACTTTCTTTCTTGAATATTTTTCTTCTCATACTTCTGTCAAAATTATTACCTTCCCTTCTTTCTGCCACCCTCTACAAAGTACTCTAATCTCTTTTATCCTTTACAAACTATTTCACAAAAACAGGAAAAAAAAAAGTATCCTGCTCTCTACAGACCAAACGGGCCCTCTCTGTCACATGAAGCACCAAGTTACACATGATTTTGTTTGTCTCCAGTGTTTGTCATTTCCCTCATCCTGGGTGGAAGCAAAATTATTCATATTCAAACTTTGTTGCTCAATAGAACTTTCATCATGTCAAACATTTTCAGGGTATCTTTACTCTGTTTTTACATTTTTTCCTTAATATATCTACCCCCTTACTTAATATGTCCCACTCACCATTATAAAATTCTTAGCAATTAGCACAAGGTTTATCACACAGCAAGTGTTCATTGTACATCTGTGTCATTTATGGAGACAAATGTTCCTTTATTAGTTCCATATTAATAACTATCAAGGTCCTGGTTCTTCTCCTTTCTTCAAGCATTTCTTAAGTTGACAAACATGTCTTAGTTCTTTCTACAAAGGCGTTCTCTCAGGGTCTGCTGCCTTCCTCAGCTCTGGGATTTATAAAAGCCTTTGAGGATTCCTCTGCGTATCTCCTTTGTCCTCACACTGTAGATGACCGGGTTGAGCATGGGGGGTACAAATAGGTAGACGTTGGACATCATGACATGAACAACAGGTGGCGCACTTTTCCAGAAACGGTGGATCATGGAGACAGCAATTATGGGCACATAGAAAGCCAGAACTGCACAGATGTGTGATATGCAAGTGTTGAGTGCCTTGAGCCGCTGCTCCTGGGATGCAATCGCCAGCACAGCTCTCAGAATCAATGCATAGGACAGTAGGATGAACGCTGAGTCTATGCCGTAAGTGAGAATGACCACAAAGAGCCCATAGATATTGTTAACATGGATGTCTCCACATGCCACTTTCATGAGATCTGGATGGAGGCAGTACGAGTGATGTAAAACATTGCCCTTGCAGAAGGGAAGTCGTTTCACCAGAAAGGGGAAAGGCAGGAGAGTAGTGAAGCTCTTGGCAAGGATGCCCAGGCCCATAGCCAAGATGCAGCTGTTAGTGAGCACAGTAGTATAGTGTAGTGGGTCACAAATAGCCACAAAACGGTCAAAGCTCATGGCCAGCAGTATGCCTGATTCCATGAAAGAGAAAGTATGGATGAAGAACATCTGAACCAAGCAGGCATTGAAGCCAACATGGCGGAAGTTGAAGCAGAAGGTAGCAAGCACGGTAGGGAGTGTTGAGAAGGACACGCCCAGATCATTGAGAGAGAGCATGGAGAGGAAGTAGTACATGGGTTGGTGCAGAGCAGGCTCCCGAACCACCAGAGCGAGGATGCTGAGGTTACCTACAATGGAGATCAGGTATAGGATGCAGAAAACCAGGGCAACCCATGCTTGGCCTCTTTGCATCCCAGGAATGCCTGTCAGCTGGAGTGTATCTGGCTGGAAAGGGGTGCCATTGAGGTCCAACATGGTAGTCAGGTGAGAAAAAACAGATGAGAATGAGCCCAATAGAGTATTTTCAGGAGTTCTTCACTTTCTTTCAAACATCCTGTCTCCAACACAAAAGGTCAGAGATTGAAAGTGTTTGTCTCTGTTCCTACTTCCCCTATTAGACTACGAGTTCTTTAAGGATAGCACTGGGTTCTACTCATTTCTCTATCACCAGTGCTCTGTACCCTGTCTAGGCCATAGTAGACACTGTGAAGGTGTGATGATCAAGTGAGTGCCCATATCCTGCCAAGGCAACAAGGCAGGAGACAAGAAGAAAAAAGTCCCCTAATTCTCACCTTTACTTCCCCATCTTACCCCAGAAGCCACATTTTGGGAGTTTCGGGGTAGAGGGCTAGAGGTTAACATAAACAGGGGGGGGGGGGGGAAACAAACAAACACTGCTCATACCTTTGGAAACCCTTTGGTAGATGGTATAAATGAAACATTTATAGCTATAAAATTACAGTTGTAATAACCTTTACTCAGATTTCACCTCAGCCTCCCAATTCTTCCCCATCAGCCTACCCCTGAATATGTCAACACCAAAAACTGTTCCACCCTGAAAACCTTCAGTTACATTTTTTAAAACATTCTAACCACACCCTTCTACCCTCCAGTCCTCTTACCTTCTTATGCTTGCTCTCAGAGTCTTAATAATTCTTCCTCCTTTTTTTCCAGTCTGTTTGACTTTTAGTACTTTCTTCCTCCCTTCTTTCCTGGCCTACTCTCCCGCTAGAGCTGGCATCTTCACCTCCTCTTTGCTTCTCTTTCACACTCACACAGAAAATCCCAACTTCTATAAATTCTATAACCAAACTGGATGTGCAGATGGATAAAATGAAAGAAGCAAGTGTTTTGTTGGGGGAGAGGGTGGATTATTTACCACTGCTTAAATTTTAAAGGTATTCACATCTTTATCCATTCTTATCACCTAGTTCCTGAGGAAGAGGTATCTCTCCTTCTCCAAGTCCAGGCCATCCACCATCAGAATTTCACACTTCTTGCCTTCTCTTGCAGACACCTCTTCCATTCATCTGTTGTAGTGCATCAGCCTCTCTCTTACTGTCTCTGTCCCTTCAGGCAATAAGCCTGTGCAAGACCATCCCATTATAGAAACCTCTCTCTCTAGCTGTTACTCTATTATCTTTCCCCGTTTTTAGTCAAGCTTCTTGAAACACAGTCTCTCCAGATGCCAAGGAAGGGGACCTTGTTTATGTTTCCATTTCTCCCATTTTATTCTAAAATTCTCAAAGTTAGGGATTCGACCTTCTTGACTTTACCTACTATGACTGCTCAATTTCCTATAGTTAGGTTTCCACATTTCACCTTCCCAACTGAAACTAATTTCTCTGTGGTCACCCTTGACCTCTTTACTGCTAAATCTAATAATAAACATTCTCAATCCTCATCCATTTGTCCTCGCTAGCAGTTAACTCTTTTGGTAACTCACCTTCTTAGAACTGCTTTGTTTCTTCAGAGGCACCATTTCTCACCATTTTCCTCCTACTTTGACATCTCCTTCTCTACCTTCTTTACTAAATCCTATTGCTCTGTCCTGTCACTGTCTTTTCACAGCATCAAATTACCTCCAGGAAAAATAAGCAATAGTTAGAATGATGAAAATTGAGAAACAATATCATAAAGGACTTTTTCTCAACCTTTATCCAAAATATCTCTGTAAGAATATTTCCATGGCACCAGGTATCTTAAAACTAAAGGTCTATTCTGGAATTTAGGTATAATGGTTCTCTTAATCCTATGACTTTTTCTGGAGATTTTGTTCTCTTCTTAGTTCCCTTAGTAAAGAGAGTAAAAGTAGATGGTTACAAGAGCTTGGATCATACTCAGATAGCAATCATAATCCTGAAAGTATATGAGTCATGGGAAAAATTTTGTCTATTCACTTGGTTTCTCTCCCTTTCAAATAAGAATTCAAAGGAACTCATTAATCAGTAGTAATTCTTTCCTATACTTCACTTCTAAACTTCTCTCTTCCTCCTAAACCAAGTTCAACAGCAATGTTCAAAGAAGTCTTCTTACATCCAGCCTATCCAGATCTACTTTTTTTTTTTTTAATGATTTTCACTCTAAGACTGTCTTTAGGTTCTGAAGAAATAGGAAGACACTTGGATCATCAACAGATACTAAGGAGTATCCTACAAGATACGTTTACCCCACTATCTTTAACCCCTGATTTGCACATTTAGGCATTCAGAAGGTCATATTTCATTCACACTCCAGATTGTCTTCAGTATGGAAAGCAATGTTGAAAATTTCTCCCCCAAAGGGAATGTGCTCTGCCACCACCAAAACACAACACAGACACACACAGACACACACACACACACACACACACACACACACACAATGTTTTTCTTTGTTTTGACTGTAGAGGTATCAGTTAAGGCTTCCTAAATATGACTAATCTAGGAAGAAACATCAAGACAATGGAGACAGACACAAACAATGCTCTTCTTTGGCACAGCATGTACATGAGCATGTACACACACATACATGGTCACACAAAGGTACTAGCAAATATACATTTCACACAATTACACACTCAGGTATTCATAGGTTCTATCTCACATCAGACAGAAACTATTGCTCTCTCCCTTGGTCACACATAACACTAGCACAAGCACAGAACTTAGAAGGCTCATAGTTGCTTATTGGTTTTATAACTGTTTCAGATATCCTCCCATGTTTATGCCAATTTGAACACATACATATAAACACACACACACACACGCACTGCCCAAAATGTATTAGTATTAACAGACTTATAGTAATATTCCACCAATTATATTCCCATGACCTACTCAGTCCTGAAATGCAGCTAAGGTCCCATTGTTGATAACTTCAGTTCATTTGGTTCTGTGATTTTTTTCTCCAGCCACATACCCAAGACTTAGCTACAGGAGACAATAATTCAAATTGCAGGGGAAAAGGTATGAAATACCCTCAAAACAAAATCTACATCTAATGAATCATCCCTTTCATCTGAGGTTATGTTATTTGGTATTAGAATATTCATTCAGATAGATACCTGGCATCAGAGTCTGTGATCATGGGCTTTGGAAGAGAACAGATTTGTCTCATGTCTGGAAGAGAAATATGAGGGTCAGAGTCAGTCTTTTGTTGCAATGTGAGTGTTAAAGTTCAAGATAAGTCCTAGGTAAGAAGCCCAAGTGGGACACCTAAAGGAAAGGCACTCACTGGATGGCAGAAATTTCTTCTTCCTCTAGCTGGATGTACTGGTCTTTGGGTCCACTCAGCAGAGTGGCATCAGCTCACTCACTAAGACTCATAAATTTATGAAAACCCCAGAATCCCTAAACTTGTTTGATTGTGGTTGGTGGAGGAGAGTGGAAACAATGGAGAGGGAGGGATCAATGAGTAGTGCTGGACCTTAGGAGAATTGGTCCTAGGAGAATTCCTTTCTTGGCCCCATTAATCCCTTATGTCATCATCTATATTCATTACTATGTTAAACCTCCTTGATCAGAGAATGTAAACACTTGTATGCACACAAATATACCTAGTCATTGACATTCTAACAACCCCACAGATAATCCATTAGACATATTTAACTATTTATTTGCTAGCATTCACATTGACTCTTTCAGATCCATACACATACAAACAGATAAATGCCAATACACCCATACAACTGCCCAATATCCTAGTCACCAATCACATATCTTGACACATCAAACACACACTATAATCTGTATATTCTTACATGGATGAGAGACACTACTGTAGATTATAGAGATAATTTTAGAAATCGACAGTAAAATAAAGATTCATTTGCATACTTGAAGAAACAATCAGATATGTTTCAAATATACTCCCATGCACACATATCCAAAAGTATATATCAAACACATGTGCATATTCTCATTAACAAATCAGCAAAATGTCTGCAAATGCACATCTCTATATCTCCAGATTCTTATGTGGAATTTAAATCCATTGCATATTTTTTTATATAAAAATGCATGTTAGTATCCATATAATGTTTCTCATGAAAGCATTTCTTTCTTTTTAAATTTTTTTATTTATTTTTTTGTTACAGATGTTTCTCTTTTTTTACCCTATTGGGACCACCCTCCCCACCCCACCCCCGCCCCATCCCCGGCTTTGTTGTCCATGTCCATTGGTCATGCATACATGCATATAAGTTCTGTGGTTTATCTCTCCCCCCCCCCCACCCCCTCTTCTGAGGGATGTCAGTCTGTGCTCTACTTCCATGTTTCTGGGTCTACCGTATTCCTCAGACTGTTATGTTCATTATATTCCTTATATAAGTGAGATCATGTGGTATTTGTCTTTTTCTGCTTGGCTTATTTCACTTAGGATGATACTTTCCAGGTCCCTCCATGTCGTCTCAAAGGATAAGAGATCTTTCTTTCTTACAGCTGAGTAGTACTCCATTGTGTATATGTACCACAGCTTTTTTATCCATTCGTCTACTGATGGACACTTGGGCTGTTTCCAGATCTTAGCTATTGTAAATAGTGCTGTTACAAACATGGGGGTACATATATTCTTCCTGATTGGTGTTTCAGGCTTCTTAGGGTATATTCCTAGAAGTGGGATCACTGGGTCAAATGGAAGTTCAATTTTTAATTTTTTGAGGTAACACCATGTTGTTTTCCATAGTGGCTGCACCAGTCTGCATTCCCACCAGCAGTGTATTAGAGTCCCCTTTTCTCGACACCCTCACCAACACTTGTTGTTTGATGATTTGTTGATGGCGGCTATTCTGACAGGTGTGAGGTGATACCTCATTGTTGTTTTAATTTGCATCTCTCTGATGATTAATGATGATGAGCATTTCTTTATATGTCTCTTAACCATTTGTATGTCCTGATTGGAGAGGTGTCTATTCAGCTCCTCTGCCCATTTTTTAATTGGGTTCTTTGTCTTCCTTTTGTTGAGTTGTATGAGCACTCTATATATATTGAAAATTAACCCCTTATCTGATATATCATTAGCAATGATGCTCTCCC